TGTGTGTGTGTAAACTTACTTTTTGTCTTTTGAAAAGTTACTATGATGTTTTTAAACATGTCATAGCTAATTCAACAGAGTGCTTGATTACTAAACAAAAATTTACTCCTACACTTAAACAGATTCACAAACACACATAAACACACACATGCACACACCCACCAAAGAACAAAGACACAATTATGATGTGACCATGCATTTAAAGGTGCAACTCACCGTGAGAGTAAAGCTGAAATTGATCCTTAAAACGCTGGTCTCTGGGTTTCTGCTGTTAAAACATGAAAAGGAAATGGTAAACCACTGAAAGAGGTTATATATATATATATATATATATAAACATATAAAAAAGATGATTGAATTATTGAACAAATTTCATCCAGGCTGATTAGCTTTAATTCAGATGAACATTGAACTTTTTACAGTTACTTATGCTCGTGCATAAAATCTGATGATTTTATATACAATTACATATAAATTAATTTAATTTGTATTTTTATGTCATGACAGCAAAATATCCTCAAAGTACATTGCAGAATGTTGGACTGACTGCAAAGAACAGCTGAAACATGGGTATACATGAACACTGTTTAGACTAAATGTATTTTAAAGACCCAGAGGTAGGCATGAAAATATCCAGAATACAATGCATTGCAAAATACTGACACTGAGTATGTGCATTAATAACTATAAAAAGGTCAATTATAAGCTGCTTGTTAGCATTGTAGTTAACCTGCTAATATCAGTAGGATCATTCTCCCACTAATTAGATCTAAAGGTTATGGCTAGATTTTTTTTATGACGTAGAAGAACTGGAGTTACATTTWAAAAAAAACACTATTTGTGGAAAGCATGAATAGATCCAATGATTCAATTAAGTATACTGCACCAGAAGTTGAAAGTTAATGCTCTACCTCACCCAAGTCAGCTGCACAGTTAATCTAATGCAAAAAGAGTTAYGGTGTCCCTAAATCAGAGAGATTTATGGCACACAGCAATTCTAACAGCTTCTTAAGCGTGTGCTCCAGAGCCAGTGTGGCTGAAGGGGGTACACAGGGACTCAGACTGGAAGCAAATGGACCTGGAAGCAAATGGACCTGGCTCATCTGAAAAAGCTAAAAAATGTAACCAAACAGTGACAAAGCTAAACAGAAATCCTCACCAAAATGAGGGTATGCTGCAGTCTCAAGCAAAAATAATTTTATGTGCATTGAAAAGCAAATAGAACCATTTGTTTCTTATTTGTTTCAGGTACTGTGGTTCATTTGTGAATACGTTTCTGCACTTCTCACACATCAAAAAAGAACAGGGAGGAGGGGGAAATGTATACTGTAGAAGGATAAAAAATCATGCAAGATGGCACAAAAACTACAACTAGGTAGAATTAGTAGTTAACAAAGAAATACTCATGTTTTTTTATTTGATCCTGTAAAATATACAATTTTAAAGTTCTAATACTAATTTTAATGGCCCCAGAACATGTTTACACAAAACTATATGCAAATGCCTTGATTTGATGGTGAGACAGAGAAAAACAGACAACCAAGAACAAAATTAGGGAAAAACACTTTTGGAGCATTTTAAACCAATAGATACATAAAAACATTTTTTTAAATAACCAATACTTCTTGGTTACAAGTAATATTA